GTATAAATGTATAGCTTACTTTTGTTTAATAAAGCGCACGCAACTAGCCTGACAGAGGGTTAAAAAAAAAAAAAAAATAATAATAATAGAAAAATTAAACAGATAAATATTTAAACTATTAAAACAAATTTATAAAGTCAACTAAAATAAACTAAGTAATTGTATCAAATCAATAAAAAATAATCTGATTTCAAAAATGATAGACTTGAAATATAATAGATAAAAAATTGGAAAAAAATAAAAAAATAATTATTAAAAATAAAAATGAATATACAAATAGAAATAAATATACAATTAATTTTATAAAAAAATATGAAATATAAGATATAAAAGGATAAACAAATAGAAATATGTACAAAAATTTTATAGAAAGTATAAAAAAATTTTTAAATCTATCAGATTAAAAAATTATATATTCAATAAAAAAAATATCAATACTAGAAGAAAAGGATTTAAAAAACAAAAGTTTAAAGAAGACTTTGATAAAAAGTATTAAATATAAAATATAATAATTAAGGTTTTAATCTTTATTAAAACTTAAAAGATTAATTTGCAATGATAATTACAGACAATAATATTAGAAATTGAAAAGATTTTCACCTGAACTACCAATAAAGTAATAAATCACTTTCAAAGTTATACTTAAAGTAGTAAAAAACTAAGAAAAATGAATTAATTAGAGATTTAGTTTTAATAATATATACTATATATATTTTTTATTTGATGTTTAATGAAATATATATAACTAACCTAATAGAGAATTAATAAATAAATCATGTTTGATAAAATATATATAATTAATCAAACAATGGATGTAAAATTAAGCTATATACTGTATATTAATCTATTTTTAGTTATAAACTTTAAAATATTTATATTAAATAATTTCATATATTAACTTTTAAATTGCCAAGTAAAGATTTAATTAAAAGAAATTGAAATTTCAAAAACTTCAAAAATTAAAAAATTAAAAATAAGCAAGTTTCTCAAACAATCAATATATTGTTTTTAATTCTCTAAAAATAATAATAATATATTCCGAAATATGCGTATCCAATATTAGAATATTTATTAAGATAAAAAATGTTTACGAATAATTTACAGTATATAATTTTACAGTAATTGTATAATATTTTTATTCGAATACATTATTTATACCATGAAACCCAGAAACTTTTTTTAAAAAAAGTATAGCCAAATTAAATCACAAATCGTAGAATAATTTATTGAAACTTGAATCTAACAAATCTTAAAATCATATCGAAAAATTTTTGATTAATAACACATAATAAGAATTAAGTGATAATAACAAGCTTCAAAATGATAATTTCATAGAATGAAAACATATATTGAACTAACGAAATACAAAAAATTATTTTTGAAAATTAGATTAAATCACGCATTTAAAATCAATATAACAATTATTAATTAAAATGACATTTTGAAAATGATCAAATTGTCAAAATTAAAACTATTCAAGAATCATTTTGAATCATTTTTCTTTTTTGTCCGTATTTTCGGTATTGGATCGATAATTTCGATTTATTTATTAAATTTTTCAAAATTTCGTAATGTGCTGTCCTTTCTCTCGTTATTATTAAACTCATTTTTAAAAATAACTGCCGACAATATTTTAGAACATTGCATTTTAAAATATCCCAATTACCTACCTATTAATCCATTATAAAATCAGCATTCATTTATAAATCCCAATATTTCAAATGTTATATACTGTATATAGTTTTTAATAAATAAATAAAAATTTTTTTTTTCTAATGCTTCGATGTCAATGTGAATTTTAAATATAGTTTACATGTATATGTTAGGTATAATAAAATACATTAATGATGTTTTAAATGTGTTTGTTGAGATGATTAAGCGCAAGTATCGGAATCTAATTTAAAAGGTCACCACCGACAATCATTGGTCACCTCCATATAAGCAGAGCAGTGAAAATTATATAGGGTACATAATGTTCAAAATATCCTTCTAAAAGTGGATTGAGCAGGGGAAAAATGCAATCTGGTCAATATATTCATACAACCTCAATATCCAATATCATCCTACCCTGAAAATCAAGAAAATTGGTAATCATATTTTGGATATTATTAATTCTATTGTTTTCTAAGGACTTTCCATGTGTCCATTCTTGTTCAGAGATGATTATATTTTTAACGCCACCAACCAGCCCGTCAAATTTCTTCTCAAAATTACGGCCATACAAAGTGTTATCCACAAATAGCTCGAAAGGCTTAAAGATAGATTCCATGGCATTCCGACGTAAACGTTTTTTCGAGGGATCAAAGATTCCTCCAAGAAAATAGTTTGCATCTTAAGAATTGAGTGTTAATTTATTAGCGAATCATTTCCTGCCAAATAAAGAAGAACTATAAAACAAATTATAGTAGACAATATATGCGTACCCTTCTTCCATTTTTCATAATGTCCTTGAATTTTGTTTCGAAGTTGCAACTTAACGCCCTTTTTAAACGATTTGATGGTTCGTCGTCGTTTTGAGTCCAATTTTTTATAGGGGACGCGGGAGCGAGAAGCCGATGGGCCACTGTAAGAAAAACTCGATGAAGACATCATCGATGCTCTTGTCATTGAAGATGCAAAAGAAAGGCCTGAAGCAATAGACATTGGTGTCGGAAGATCGGAAAATTCGTTATATAGGATTGGAGAAGTATTTGTAGGAACCAAATTATTCTGAATATTATTATGTAAATCCGCATTAATGGAATTGTGGGACGAGGGAACAGAGGAAGATGATACCACATTCATGGATGATGGAAGCCTTTCTGATTTCTCATCATTGATAGTCAGGGGCTCTAGTGAAGTGGACAATTCATCTTCTGTTGATAAATAATCTTTAGATCTTGTCAACTGCTCTTGGATGTATTCCAACTTAGCCGAAGATCTCGGGTCAGCAAAATCAATAATAGTAGCATCTCCTATGCGATGAAGGAGGTCCATGGATTGTTGTTGCACCTTCGCGGTTCTTCGGTTAGGTAAAAGGGATTGATGAATTCCTGATCTGAGGCATTTAATGAAGGCATAAAGCTGGGCCAATATGTCTAAAATAAAGGTAATATAAGATGCGTTAATCGAGTTTGCATAAGATCATAATGTAATGACTGTCGGTAGCTTACCCATAACCCACTCTCCAAGAGGTGAATCATGCTTGACTGGAAACATGTAGAAGATAATTTCCTTCTCACCACCAATATCACCAACTGCTGTTGTACCTGGTGCATTGTGTACTGGCACCATGCTATGGGCAAGAGGAACGCCGCTACAATTATTGTTCGGGTTTATAATTACGTCACTGCAATTCTGCGGGATTACCCTTATCTCATCACTACAATTGTTGCTTCGATCCTTTATCACATCACAAGCATCATTCCTCTGATCTCCCATCATGTCACTACAATTATTATTCGGGTCTCTTATGACGTCGCTACAATTGTACGCAACTTCCTTAGGATTAACATTCTGTTCGGTTTCCACTTTCACGTCACACGAATTACCCTGATTGAGCTGCGCGCTATTCGACTCTATTTCGTAATTCAGTGAAGAGGCATCTTCGTGTTCTTCAGAAATTGTGAATAATCGATTTTCATCGGTTACCCCCAACTGGGTGGAATTGTTTCCACTTAGTGATTCTACCTTCCAGACCAAACGTCGCAGGTTCTCCATCATCACCAAAGTCTAAATAATCCAATGTAAAAATAACGCAACGATAATATTATAAAATTTGACCAAAAATTTTTCATAATAGATACCTGCTCGCCTCCGAGAGAAGAATTACTACCAACTCCGTCGCATATGGTTGATAGCTCTACAGCGACATCGTAAACGATCTGCTGTTTAAGAGTTTCTGCCAACTTTTTTTCCTGTTCATTAAGCATTCGATGACGGCCCGAGAGGAACAGGTAAATATCATCAGATTCGTTATCCTCATTTAAAGGTCCTGTGACAAAGATCATTTCCAACAGACGGAAGTGATTGTCAATCCCCAAGCCCCCGATTACTCCTCTTAAATTTATTTCTGTAGAAACAAAATCCGCAGGGCTCGCATTCCAACCCGCTGCCGTAAAAATTATCTTTGAATGGAGAGTATAAGCAAAATTAGAGGCATGAAAATTGACGCTTAACTATTGATCGATCTAAATCTGAAAAAAAAAAAATAAAATAAAATGATTACTCTTCTTTTTGTGGTAGTCAAGGACGGTGCAATCGTCAGGTAACCACCTGTCTTCGCGTCCGAATTCTTTTTGGATCGAAACAAGGATATTTTCGAGTCATGCCAGTTGTATACCACATGGTGTAAAATGTGGGGACGAAGCTTTTTCAAATTTTCGTCAACTTTTTGGGCCTTTCCTAACATTCGCCTTTTCATATTGAAGAAAAGCTTGGGTTTAATTTGTATTTCAAATATTTCATCAATTAATTTCGCGGGGTCCACAATACACTGTCCATTGTCATCAGAAAGTTCCGTCTCATCTCCATGAGCAGGAGCGCTCTCGTCATCTTCTGGAGCAAAATTGGCGTCCTTTTGATCTAATAATTTGATTAAACGCAATTAATGCAAGGCGATGCAGATTTTACAATGCGCACGTCTAAATCCTACCTTTTGTATCATCCACTCTTCCCAATAAATACTGAGTGAAATTGCGAACATGCACAAACCGAGACTTCGTTTGCCTTAATTCTTCAAAGGGAACCGACATCAGCTGGTCTAATGCGTGTACGCAAGCCCTTTTCCCAGCATTAGGGTTAACTATATAAAATCTGTCAATGAAAAAATTCGAAACCAATAATAAGCTCAGAATAAAGATGCAATTATAAAGAAAGTGACGTAGAATTCTACACGAAATCCACTTTTTAAAAAGAATTTCGAAGAAAAATCAGTATCACTTTTTCGCGAGAACATATTATAATAAGAAACAAACTTGTTGTCATTCTTATGAATTGCTTCCATCCACTAAATATTTATATTTCTTGGATCAGAGTAATGCATAAACAATTATTTTCAACCCGTACTATATTATCGCAATGTACCTCGTGTTTCAAAACAAAATTTCGTGCAGTAACCTTTACAGCATAATCTCCATAATCAAACTCATTGTCTAGTACAATTATCGTTTTACCGTCAAGGTCCTTCATCAAGGTGGTAGGTTCGGCTGAAAAAAGTGTTTCTATAGGCCTCGTTAGACTGAAATGACCCATCTGTGATATATCCCAAACAAAGAACTTGAGGCCGAGCTGTTGTTTGAACAAGTTGACCCATGCTAGGTATTCGTTGCGTGTTCTGATGATTTTGAATACGTAGATCGTGTTAGTAAGGAGAACAGACAATCCTCCACATATGACAACGCTCACGTTTTGTGATTTGTGACAAGCAACACGTCCGGGTAGAAACCTGCAGGGAATCCACGATAGATCGTTGACACCCTAACATCGAATGATTGAATATGAACGACGTTTAATGAAGAGGGATCCTCGATCTGGGTGTGATCACAAAATTTCAATGTTTGTTTCTTCCAATGTCAACTGATGATCCCCCCGCACATGATACTTACCTTCCCGAGTTCCAGATAAATCCAAAATTCTGCACATTCAAAGGCCTCTGCTTCACCTAATGCTAATGTGGCCTCCAACTGTAGTGTTTGAACAGCTTTCAACAGAGGGATGTCGAAGATATACTCTCTTTCCATTGTCTGCACAGGAGGGATCGTGATAACTCCTTTCTGCCCAAGTTGCAGACCAAATCGCAAGGCGTGGGGTGAAACTTCTCCACCAGTTTTGACCAACCTAACACAAATACGACGCTTATTTTTTGAGGATGCACCAAAATCTACTTGAGATGTATTTTTCACTCCCCAAATTACTTTCGCTACGTGACCAGAAACCTAAATTAGACAAATTTTTAATTTGACGGATATGGTCAAGGAAGAAGAGATCTGAAAGAGATATGCTGACAGAACACTTTACCATTGAGTTCATGTGTGAAATATGAGTGAGCTCAATGGGAAATTGGATATTGATGAGACGGCCATAAATATCAAAGGCTGGAAGTCTCCTCTGAATCCCTGTCATTGTTGCTGTCAACTGCAATAAGTCAGTTGCACGAAGAGGTGGTCCTGGCATATTCAACGAAGAATGTCAAACATTTAAGGATACCATGCAAAAAAAAAGAAAGAAAGAAAGAAAGAAAGAAAGAAAGAAAAAAGCTCAATATAAACCTGGCCTATCTACTCTGTATTTCTTGAGAAAGAATGATAGTTGTTGATTACAATTAACTTGTTTAGAGGAATGTCCATCAATCCGATGCGGTAGCGTGATATATTTCCTCTGAGCGTAATTAGAAATCCACACATTGTTATTAATGGTAACGCAGATATCTCCTATGGGTGAATTGGAAAATAGAATCAAAATATAGCAGTAATAGATCGTTTGTAAGAGTAGGTACATACGTCTTGGGGTAGGCATCGCAGAGCTATTGTTAATGGTCAAAGTATCTACGTAAATTTGAGCTTCAGGTTCAAAAACTCCCGTAGCAGAGTAAGAGAAGACACTTTGCAAACGTATATCAAAGATCTCGCGGTATTTTGAGATTTTGTTTGAAATGCTGTATAAAAGAAAAAACAAGATCGTTAGGAATTATAAAAAAGCACCCTTTCTTGTATGCCTTTTTTCTCGGGAAATAAATTTAAGGAAAATAATAATAATAATAATAATAAAGCTAGCCACTTTACCTGTCTTTTATGTGAAACCGTAATTTCCCATCGTTTCCCGGACTACCGTTATAAAGAAGAATGCTTGGACATTTTCCATCATAACCTCGAGGGCCATCGTAACCTCCTAATTTAAGGTGGATTGAATAATTGATACGTATATTGTAGTAACAACGGATAAAATCCGCTAGAATTCATACCTGGGTTATAATAGTTATGATAATGCTCTATTCGGTTTCCATTGCTATAGGAGTATGAGACTTCCGTCCAAGAATGACTTGAACCACCAAGACCACCTCGTCCTCCACTGCCTATGTATTACGTATTTATGATGTGACTAATGTGTAAAACTGGAATGTTAATGCACGAACAATACCTGGTATCCCGTGCCTGCCAGCCCTTCCTGTACCAAAATAAATGATGAGATTATTACCATGTCCGTCAATGTGTATGAAGATAAAATAATAAATCATACCTCCATATCCGCCGCTTACGTCTAAACTATAAAGGACTGCTGGTACCCATTCTCTCACAAACAAAAGTAACAACCCCGAATCCGTGTCATTCATTGTCAAGGTTATTGTCCCACCGTCTCCGCCATCGGCACCACTATTACGATATATCAGCACTTAGCTGAGAATAAGAATTGAACAGTAGATGAAAAAATTGGAATGAAAACCTACCTAGTTCCAGCACCTGCAAAGTTGAATACAGTGTAGAATACATCAACAAATTTGCTCGAAGTGTTTATTCTAATCGAGCCCAACAAAAATTCTCACCTGCATCACCACCATCACCACCGCTTCCTCCATTAGTTCCACTTGAATATCTTATCGTTACAGTGATACGATTAGCTGTTAAATCCAAAACCGAACTCTATTATCTTGACCGGATTGAGTCACAGCCTATCAAAAGACTTACCGGGTAGCGTTCATCCCGGGCGCACCAGCTGCACCGTTTCCTGAAGTGAAATTCGAAGTTAAACGATACTGTACTTGAATGTATTGCTCAAATAAGGAATTGTGATATGAATACTTACCGCCATCTCCACCATTACCTCCGTTACCTCCATCCCCTCCACGAGCTGAAACATCGAAAAATCATGTCGAGTGATTCATTCAGTTTCTAATTTGATAAACGCGATATGATCAAATCTTACCTTTTAGCGCGAATAGATCAGCATAAGAGCATGCATAAGATTTTTGAAAAGCTTTAAAAGAATATCCTGCCACACGAAACTGTCCCGAAAATTCTATCGCAGCGCCCGAAGTATGATCTCTATTTGTAAGGATAAGGAGATGTTAAGTCACATGGTTAAAAAGGATGAGTGATATCGTGAAAAATAAAAATGCCAACCTCTCAGTGAGAAATAACTCAATATCTATTAAAACTTAAATTAGTTTTTAAAACAAATAAACCGAAGATTAGACAATAAAGATCTGACCCCCAGCATCTCCCCCATCAGTCGGGTGTGTCGCATTTGTCCCATCTTTTCCATCTCCGCTAGGATATGTCCCATTGTAACCGCACACTCCATCAATACCATCAACGCCATGAGGTCCGGATACATCAAGCACGTTAAGCATTTTATTGTTGGAACGAGAAAGACAAACCAATACAACATACAATATATAATTCTTTTTTTTTTATTTCATATTATGCGGTGCCACCACAACGCTAATTTTATCTTTTTCAAAACATAACACATAGCAAATATGAACACTTGTACTGACCACCAGGCGTTCTATAAGTAGTACATTACGAATATGCTACCTATGTCAATGGCGGAAACCCAATAGATAGCCATAAGACAAACAATGATGTTCTAAGGCGATGAGAATAATCGGAGATTAAAGTCCACCTTGTTTACCAAGTAAACGAATAATGACTGTTTACAGTGTCGTACCATTGTCGATAAATCAACATCTCTAATACGAGGCATCTTTGGTCTA